GGGGGGAGTGGGAGGGGCGCACGTAACAAGAAAAGGAGAGAAAAAGAAACCACCGCGAACATGACTGGTCAAGTCAAACAGGGCCTACGGCGGCCTATGGCCGAGGGGACACACGTTCCTGGAAAGTCAGGACGCAGTCGGCGCTCCTGCCAACTGCAAAAGGTAAAGTGAGAGGGGGAGGGATGTAGAGAAAGAGGGAGAGAGAGAGAGCGAGAGATATACCGGGTGGAAGGGAGAAATAAAGACAGAGAATAGGGGTGTGGTGAAGAAGGATGGAGAGGGGGAGCGGAATGAGGGGCTAGGCCAGGTCCTCTCTCGACTCGCCGCCTCTCCGTTTCCCGCGGCGTTTCTACAGAAGCCGAAGATCCGATAAAACTGCTTTCGAGACTCCTGAGAGGAGAGGAGCTCTGAGTGCGTGCAAACAGCCCTGTCCCCCGGCCTGCCTCTGCAGCATCTGCAGCGGATGGCCCGAGTGTCTAACCGAGTCGTCCGTCACGGGGCTGAGTCGGCCGCGCGGGGGTGGAGGGAACAAGAGCGAGAGGGAGAGAGAGGGAGGGAGCCAGAGAGAATGAGAGTGAGAGAGGAGGCGTCGGCGCTCCGTCGCCCCGCCCCGCCACGCCCCTCGCACTGTAGATATTTATCGGTCTAGCGGACTCCATAATGCATACGACGTGTCGCCGTCATAAGGTCTTTGCCCAGAAACCGGCTCTCTCATAGCTCGGCGGCGTGGCGCGCCGTGGCGCGGCGTGGCGCGGCGTGGCGCGGCGTGGCGCGACGGCGGCGCTGGCTGCTGCGCGCCGGCCAGTGGGCTGGACCTGGGCCGGACCCGCCACCATCCAGGACCGCAGCCGCGACGCCACGAGGTGGCTCTACATATTTCACCTGCCCGGCCACACCTGCAGCTGCTGCAGCGGCCCGGCTTGGCTCGGGTTTGGCCCGGCTCGGTCCGGCACGGGCTCGGCTCGGGCTCGGCTTTTCGGCGGGGACAGGACCGTGTTCATCACGCCGCGACGACGCCACGCCACGCAATGCCGGAGGAATGTGGTCGGTGGCCGCGCGGCGCTGATCCGGAGGATCCGCAGTGGGGCCTAAATGACATTACGTTTGACATTGGGCCGGGCACGCCGGCGCCCTGCTGCGTGCTGCGGGGCTCGACGGCAGGGCCAGGCACGGCCGCCCGGCCCGGCCAGGCACGACTGCCTTTGCATTTCTGCGAATCCCAAAACAGCTTCCGTTTCCCGGCAAAAGCAACACGCACAGCCCCACACCGCCCGCCGGGCCGGGCCCGGCCATGGTCTGGCGGCGCGGCGGGCGGGGCGGGAGCCAGTGATAAATGGAATAACTCCGTAAGTAAATTAAGTTGCCGAGTAATTACTCATTAGTCGTGTGTGTTTGAGGCTCAATCTCGCCGAGCGCAGACCGCCGCCGAGCATCGCCACGCCACGCACAGAGGCATGATGATCAATGTCCAACTTTCCCTTGTGCGGTTGCGAACCGAAAGACTCGCGCAAGCCCGCCAAACTAAACTACCCAGGGTCAAACAATTTGGGCTTGCCCTCCCTCCCTCCCGATTCACTTCCCTCCCCGCCCCGCCGCCGAGCTGCGGTGGATCGGCGATCAGTCATGCAGGCGGACATGTCGAGCGGGGCGCGGATAAATGAGACGGAAACCCTAACCGACGCGAACTCCTGGCGGAGCTGCTGAGCTGCTGGGGTCGTTACTCACCGGTGTCCATGGCGACCAGGGTGAGGATGTGCTCGGCCTGCTCCTCCCGGTCCAGCGCGCGCTGCAGCGAGATGTCGCCTGTCGACGCGTCGATGCGGAAGAGGTCCGGGTCGCCCTCCTTGAGGAAGTAGCGCACCTGGCCGTTGAAGGGCGGCGAGTCAGCGTCGAAGGCGTGCACCCGGAGAACGAAGCCGTTGGGCGGCGGCACGACGCCCTCCACGACGTACGCCAGGTAGGGCGAGTCCAGGAAGGTGGGCGGGTTGTCGTTGATGTCGGCCACGTTGATGGCGATGACGGCCGTGTCGTAGCGGGCCGAGCCCTGCTCGCCGGCGCAGTCCTCGGCGCGCACCGTCAGCACGTACCGACTCTTGCGTTCGAAGTTGAGGTTCTTGGCCACGCGGACGACGCCGCCGTCCTCGCTGATGGAGAAGTCCCGGTTGTCGTCGCCCGACCAGATGGAGTAGCGCACCCGGCCGTTGTCGCCGTCGTCCATGTCGGTGGCGGACACCTGTAGCACGCTTGCGCCGATGGACGCGTTCTCGGCCACCGTCGCCGAGTACTGCTTGGGGTCGAACACGGGCGAGTTGTCGTTCTCGTCCAGCACGTGCACCACGACGTGGGCGGTGGTGGCGCGCGGCGGGTCACCCCTGTCTCGGGCCGTGACGCGCAGCTTGTAGGCGGAGCGTACCTCGCGGTCCAGGCGGCCGGCCACGCGGAGCAAGCCGTCGGCCGGGCCCAGCGAGAACATGACGTCGTCGACGACGTTGCTGGCCGCCACCGCGCCCGACTCCGCGTCCACGGCCTCCACCGCGTCCAGCGAGTACTCCACGTATCCGTTGCGGCCCTCGTCCTTGTCCACGGCCTTGACGGCCAGCAGCACCGTGCCCGGGGACACGTTCTCCCCGACGGAGGTTTCGGACGGCGTGATGAACTCCGGGGCGTTGTCGTTGACGTCGCGCACCGTGATGGAGACCTGCACGGTGGAGGACAGGCGCGCACTGGGCGGGTCGGCGCAGTCCGTGGCGGTGACCACCAGGCTGTAGCTGGCCTTGGCCTCGCGGTCCAGCGCACGCCGCGTGACGATGGTGCCGTTGGGCGACATGGAGAACTCGTCCTCGTCGTCGCCGCCGGTGATGGCGTACTCCAGGCGGCCGTTGGCTCCTACGGAAGGAAACGAATGAGGCGTAAGTGACAGGGCGTGGCATGAGGCGTGGCCGGTGGGCGAGCGCGGCGGGGCGCGGGACGCCTCGGAGATGTGCACCATCACGCCGCCGCGCCCGCAGCGCTGCACGTGCACGCCGCGCACCCCGCCCGGGGCGCCAGCGCTTTCCCTTTACCCCGCTTGGGGCCTAATTAATCATCGTAACGTATTGGCAAAGCGGCGGCAGCCCGAGTCCACCGCCGCGGTCCACTTCCGAGTACCTCACGACATAGATTGCCGCGTGGCGCCATGCAACTCCTAGCAGCAGTATGTGCGCTATGGCCCCACGGATGGAGGACATGCCGTGGACGGCTACGAGGAAAACCCCTCCTCCTCACCTCTCCCCGGGCTCAGGCTGCGAGCTGCTGACTGTTGCTGGGCGAACCACGAAGACCGCCAGTTGAAATTCTTCCGTGAATCCGCTGCGATTCTTCCTTGCCCCCCC